AAAGCCAGACTTAAACTCACTTGGTTTATTCAGATCTGGGGGCCCACCAGTGATTTCTTGCCCCGTCAATGTGGGTCTCTTCCTAGGGAGGCCAGAAGAAGCCCCGGTGACCTTGGCCTGAATGAGACCTTGGGCTCACCCTAGATAGGGCCACCCTCCTTGGTTGCTTCTCTCTTTAATTCCCCAAACTCTTGAGTCCTTGAAGGAGTGTTCCCAGAGCACCAAAGACGTCCACCTCAAGCTCCAGAACCACTTCCCCCATTGGATTTCTGTGAAAAGTATCAGACTGCATCCTAGCATCTCTAGCCAACAAGTATCACTGAGTATTCCTTCTTTTTTTTGTAGAGATGGGGTCTTGCTACATTGCCCAAGCTGGTCTCAAACTCTGCTTCAAGCAATCCTCCCGCCTCCCAAAATGCTGGGGTTACAGGTGTGAACCACCACGCCTGTCCTCACTGAGTATTTCTAAGCTCTGTCTTATATCAGAAGAAAACAGAGCTGGTAAATTGACCAGAGTAGCTTTCCCCTGTCCAAGCAAAAATAAAGTCAGAAAATCCTAACTTAAAAAAAAAAAACTATTGGCAACATAAATGAGAAGCATTTTTCTTTCGCATGTAAGGCCTTTGCAAGTGTGCAGTTGTGAATGCAAAAGTTTCATTTTGTTGACACTGGATGGGACTCAGTGACTTTTGAAGAATTTTGCATGAAATCCTTCTACTGGGCAGCCTTCTAGGCTATTCCTACCTAGAGGAGTATAGGCCAAGCTCTACTCAAGGGAAGTTTATAGCAGCCTGAGACATATGCATCAACATCTAAATTTAGTAAATATGTTCCTAAATTGTTCATGGTTCACCGAGAACTCACAAATTATAAGAACTTGCTGCTTGATCCCGTAGGCATTCCCCGATCTGTAGATAAGTGAGCCCTTTGGCTCATGTCTTATTTAGTTCATGAGCCAGCAAACAATTTTAGTCCCGAAAGGAAAGTATATTTTTCTTGCAGCAAACAAGAGTCATAGACTCTGAGTTGGAAGGGACCCAGGAGGTCCTGCTAGCATACTTTCAGCAACAAGACATTTGGTGTTTCTCAAGGGAGCAGATGCTTGTTACAGAGGACACCGCAAGCTGTTCTCCTGCGTACCCATCCATGTATCCATCCACACGTTCATTCATCAGATATTTGTTATTGGATTAGGCAATAAATTCACTTCTTGAGGTTATGGCATCAGGTTTCTAACTAACACCCTAATCACCGCACCTAGAGAACAAAGGATCAATCAGGAATAGGCTTTGTAAAAAATTAACTTTTTCTTATTACAAAAACAATAACGTGATCATTGAAAAACTAGAAAACAGAGCTGAACCCAAACACATAAATTACAAAGCACCCCTAATGCCATTAGGGAGATGGGGCCGTAAGTGGCCATTTTCACAGACTTTTTTTTTTTTTTTTTTGAGACAGAGTCTCACCGTGTTGCCTGGGCTAGAGTGCCGTGGCGTCATCCTAGCTGACAGCAACCTCAAACTCCTGGGCTCAAGCAATCCTCCTGCCTCAGCCTCCCGAGTAGCTGGGACTACAGACATGCGCCACCATGCCCGGCTAGTTTTTTCTATATATTTTTAGTTGTCCAATTAATTTCTTTCTATTTTTAGCAGAGACGGGATCTCGCTCTTGCTTAGGCTAGTCTCGAACTCCTGAGCTCAAACAATCTGCCCACCTCGGCCTCCCAGAGAGCTAGGATCACAGGCGTGAGCCACCGCGCCCGGCCCACAGACTTCTTTTTTAGTGGGATGACCTTTGCCTCATCCCAACTCTTTGTGCAGTTGGACACCTGTTCCCTAAGGAGCGATATCTGACATATGCTTGTCCAACCTCTTGAGAGGTTCGAGGGTTTGTAGAACACACCATTCTTCCCCCGACTCCTGACCAAGCACCAAGAACTCACCTGGGACAAAGTGCTGGACCTTCCTAGGAGAGTCATCAGCTCATCTGAACCACTTAATATGTCTTGAGGGCCCGTCCTTTTCCCTGCTAGGTGAGCCACAATTAAAAGCCTGGCAGAATAACCTAGACTAGTGAGTTAAACATACATGAAATCACAATCCTTCCCTTCTCCACATTCCTATTACAAAGCCTTAAACCATGTCTTAGCAAAATGGCTTCATACTAAATAATAGTCGCCCCAAGCCAGATGTGGTGGCTCACATCTGTGAGCCAAGGCAGGAGGATCTCTTGAGGCCAGGAATTCAAGATCAGCCTGAGCAAGAGTGAGACGCCGTCTCTCTACAAAAATTAGAAAAATTAGCTGGGTGTGGTGGCATGCATGTGCAGTCCCAGCTACTCGGGAGGCTGAGGCAGGAGGATCGCTTGAGGCCAGCAGTCTGAGATTGCAGTAAGCTATGATGATGCCACTGCACTGTAGCCTGGATGACAGAGTGAGACTCTGTCTCAAAGAAAAAAATAGTAGCCCTTACTATTTATTAAGCTCTTACTATTGCTAGGACAATTGCAAGCACTACACAAATTACTTGTTTTTTTAAATATATTTGCTTCCCATTAGGCTTTACAGGACCCATAGTTTATACCTCTCCTGGCAGGCAGGGTGCCTAACACAGATCCTGACAACTAGTGGTGGCTCAATAAATGCTATGGATGATAAGCCAATGTCCACACTCTTCTCCAAGACAAGTATTTGCATTCTGGCCTCTGTGGATCTGTTTCTGAAGTAAGAGATCATTTCCCATTCATATGGGCTCTGCAGCTGTTGAGTAAAAAGGAGGGAGGGACACTGCATTTGGACACACCTTCCCTCCCCACCCCTCTCCCGTTTCCCTAAGCTTTGATGGAAGTCACTTCCGAGGGCCAGTAAGGGGAGGGGAACAGAGGTGGGAGCCTCTCTATGGAGGGTACTGGATTCGGGGTTCCCTGCCCCACCCACCCACTATGCATGGACTCCAATAGATACCGGAGCCTTGCTCGCGCCCCCTACCTCCCCACACACGCTAAACAGTGAGCCCCTAGACCCTTTCTCCCTTCAGTGGCAATGTCTAGGGTCTGTTTCTGCAGATCTGCCACTAAGGGAAGCCCCACTGGCAAGCAGTGAGAAAACATGGAGTAGAAACAACAAGTAGGCTGGAAGAGGGAGCTGCCAAAACAAACCAAATGCAAAAGGGCTGCATCACCACCTCAGCTGGGCCAAGGCCAGGGACGCGGAGACAAGAGCACATACGTGCAAAGAGACACAGTTCCATCCAGCGGCCTGCCGGCTCCCCACTCCACTACTCGGGGGCTCCCAGGCAAGGGAGGCTTGCAGTCAACGCTGATGATGAGTATGTGGCCCAACAGAAATGTCAGCAGCCTTGTCTCCCCCTTGCCTTCTGTTTTCTGGCCACATGGAGTCCCTCCCGTCTCAGAACACACCCTGTCTATTCGTGAACCCCCTTGATCTCTCTGCCAAATATACCCTCTCCCCTCTTTTCTGCCTGGCAAACTCTTATTCACCCTTCAATACTCAGATCAAAGAGGAAACTATTTTGGACCCCACCAGGAAGTTAGCCCTTTCTATCTCCGCATTTCCATTGCATGCCACTCTTCTTACATAACACCTCTTACTCGTTCACAAACACTTCTGTTTGTCCACTTTCCCAATTAGGTGGTGAGTTCCTTGAAGGTAGGTGCCATTTCATACAAACAAGCAAGAGGAAGGGATTTGAGAAATCAGGAGCCTGATTTTCAGACCTTCAAACCAAACTACCTTCACAAGAACTGAAGTAAAACCCTGTTACTAACCCTTACATCAGAGGCTTTCAAACTCTTGTGACCACCAATAAAAAACATAATTTATGTCCTAACAAGTATGCATGTGCATACATACATATCTAACTGAAAAAGCTTCAATAAACATTACAATTTAAGTTGCATTTTTTATTTTTCACTTGCTTTAATTTCTTTTTCTTTTTGGTAGAGACGGGGGGGGGGGGGAGAGGGGGGCAGGTCTCCCTCTTGCTCAGGCTGGTCTTGAACTCCTGAGCTCAAACAATCCTCCCACCTCCCGCCTCCACCTCCCAGAGTCCTAGGATTACAGGCGAGCGTCCTGCCCAGCCTACATGCTTTTTTAAAATAACACCATGACACAGTAAATTGATCTGAAGGCTCACAAATGGGTGGGTCACTACTCACTTCAATAAACATTGCCTTAGGCAGGCGTGGTGCTGACTAGTGCCTGTAATCCCAGCACCTTGGGAGGCTGAGGCAGGAGGATCACCTGAGCTCATGAGTCTAAGACTGGCCTGGGCGACACAGCAAGTGATGGGTCCACTGCATTCTAGCCTGGGTGACAGAGCTAGACCCCATCTCAAAATAACACAAAACATTGTTTTAGATGGTTCTAAGTGTAATAAATGTGAACAATCAGGTGAGCCCAAAAATATAAAAAAAAGTATTTATTACCTGTGTGCCCAGTAATTAATTATTCAGGTTGGAGCTTCCTTTTCCCACTGGAGCAGCCCAGTCAGAAAGGGTCTGAAGGGCTCTGGACCACAGCTGCCTGGGAGCCAGCCAGGCCCTGCAGAACCAGAAATTACATGAAGCACCTTCTCAGTCCCTACCAGAGCCTGACATAAGGGAGGCCATGAAGTCCTAGTTTGCTTCCTTCATCCTTAAACCCTCACCTCTCCCATGTCTGGGACCATGGCCAAGGAGCTTGATGCATCGTGAGCACCATGGCCGCATCTCAGCATGTGAGAGTATACCCTTTATCTGCCCGGCCTTCCTGAGGTGAAAAAGTTTAAAGCAAACATTGGGATTGTCAGGTTTCTGTACTGTACTGAACAGTTTGTTTTATGTTACACACTGTTCATAGTATAATCTATGCTCTCTATGGAGGCAGGAAACACTTGGGTTCTCCTCCTGTACCTAGGTACCTGTAAAATTTCCTGCTCTAGGTACACACAGAATTTATACAGACAAGAGGCAGTGGCACTGGGGTGGCAGGAAACTAACACAACTTGGCACATTTTATTGTACAGGACAATAATTACAGAACACACAGACTCAGGAAGACCCACTGCTTGGGCCTAACTAAAGACAAGTGCCCCCTCCCTCAATGCAGAGTCCTTTGGGCTGTGAGGGAGTAGCCCTTTCTCAACATGGCTGTGATGGGAGGTCCATGACAGTACTCAGCATGAGGAGAGCCACATCTGGGCCTGGCTGAGTGTTTTCAGGGAGGGGATAAGGGGACCAGCTTCATTTCAATTACTTGGGTGTGACCCTGAAGACTCGGATGTGGATGGCTGAGTTGTTGCGGATTCGGGTCAACGGCTCCCGTGTATCAGTCTCTGGTTCCAGCTCATCAACAAGCTCCACGGTGGAGGTATTGGCAGCCACCTGCAAGGACCCGAAGCTGCCTGCCTGCAGCTGCAGGGCAATGTTGATGGCACGGTTGATGGCTAGGCCCAAGCCATGAATGTAGATCTCAGTGCATGCGTTCTGACCCCGCGCGCCTCCGTCTAGCAGCTTCTGGCAGCGGGCCAGTTGGGCCTTAAAGTCAGTCTTCATGTTGACATAAATGTCATTGGGCCTCCGGGGCAGGCGGTGGGGAAGCCGTTTCCTAAGGGTGTACTCCACCGGGTCCAGCTCAGCCTCGACGGCCCCGCGGGGCTCTCGGTTTTCTGCCATGCTGTGTGCCCTGGCACGGGAAAGGGATGAGATCGGATGGGTCACACACGACTTCGCATCCTTTCCTACCGCGCTTCCCATACAAAGGGTGCGCCCGGGAGAGGACGCACTCTACGTCCCTCTTCCTTTCCAGCCTCTCAGCTCCCTGCCACTCACTTCATGCACCCGCACCTCCCCACCCCAGTTCTTATTCACTCATCACGTTGCCCCAACCTCACGTCCCTCCACTGCCCCCTTCCGCGGCTTTCGAGCGCCTACTTTCTCCGTTCCACCGTGCCTTGCAGGCGCGCGCGGCCCACTCCGCGCCAGGCCACCGAAGGGCTCGCCGGCCGGCCTAAGTAGAGAGCGCCCCCGCGACCCCAAGTCCCAGGGAAGCGAAGAAAAGGAAAGGGGCGCGAAAAATGTACGCCAGACCGGGGGCGTCCTACCGGCGCCAGGCTCCGGAAAAGGTGGCAGAGTGCGCACGCGCGCCTGTCCCCCGCGACCAGGCCCGCGCAATCCACGAATCGCCTTCCCGGCCTCCGTTTTCCCCGCCCCTTTCCTGAGCCCTCGCGCTACCGCGCGAGGCGTTTGAGTAACGCGAGGCTTCCAGCCGGGAGGGTACCTACCACGTGTACGCCTCGGGGGCGGGGCGGGAGGCAGGGGGAGGGCCAAGCAGGGGAGGAGCTAGAAGGGGAAGGTCGGCTCCTCTAGGCCAGTCTGAGTTCCTGGCCCGCGGAGGGGTCCCGAAGGGGACAGACCGGGGCGAAGGCTATTCTAGGGCCGTGGAGGATTGGGGCTTTGGGGAGGGTCTTCTGTGTTCCCACAGAGAGCAGTCAGCGGGGCGAGTTCAGGAGAACGTGATCGCGAAGGGGCCTAAATGCGAGTCTGAACTCCGGGATCCGTCGCAGTTCTGGTCAGAAGAAGCGTGGGCATAATTGGCAGAGTTGACCTTCGGCCCAAGGTCGCTGTTGCTCAAGGGCAGAGGGGGGGATTTAGAGACAAGGCCGGGTCCCCACCTCGAGGGAGGACGGTGCCCCAGGACCGCCCTTGCAGTTCACGGGAACCCGACCCTCTCCGGTGTCTCTGCCGGGGACTTAAGCCATGAGCCGTAAGCCCAGCTTTCTCGGCTCCCCCAGGGCACGCTGACGCACCCACGCCCCTCAACTATCTCCCACAAACTCTTCCGCAGCTGCCCGACTTGGGAGCGGGGCCTTGTCGCCCCCTGGCGGGCAAGACTGGGTGGCCGCGAGCCGTTCGTGGCTCCCAAGGCCAGTGGGGAGAGGGGCTCTTTGCCTAGATTTATTTGTGTAGCTTCTGCAGAGTTCCCTTCGGAGATGAGTTAGACTCGCACTGGGGACCTTGAACTACTCTCTGCTTCATTTTCCCCATCACTCAAAGGGGAATGCTAATTCCTGTCTTGCAAATGTGTTGTAAAACCCCTCTAATCCTGTAAATTGTAAACCTACACAAGTGCGTTAGCATATTTATGCCCCCCAGACCCTTCTCCAGTTGCCTAGGGCAGAGTCTGACCCCAAACGACCGAAGTTTGGAAAAAGGTCGAGTTCCTGAGAATTTCCCTCCCTGCACCATTTAAATCCTGCAGTTCTCGCCTTTAGCTTCAGATTCTTTCATTAACCACAAGTTTGGGGTTTATGTTGAATTGGAAGATTCTACATAGTAAAGACATCAGTTCTCCCCTAATTGATACATAAGTTTAATGAAATTCCTATGAAAATCCCAGCAAGACTTTTTACATAGACAGGTTTATTATAAAATTTATATGGAAAAGCAAAAGAAGTAGAATAGTTAAAACAATTTTAAAAAAGAAAAAGTTGTTGAAATAATACTACCGATTTTAAGATTCACTATATAAGGGGGAGGAGGGGACGGGTAAATTTACACCTAATGGGTACAATGCACACTTATCTGGGTGAAGGGCACACTTACAACTTTGACTCAAACTGTACAAAAGCAAAGTATGTAACCAAAATGTTGTGTACCCCTATAATATTCTGAAACAAACAAAAAATATTTACTATATGAATAATCAAGAAAGGGTGGTATCAACAGAGAAACAAAAAAATCAACAGAATGGAATAGAGAACCTAGAAATAGACTCATACAAGTACAGATGGCTCATTTTTGACAAAGATACAAAAACAGTTCAATGGGGAAAGAATGGTCTTTTCAACAAGTGGTGCTGAAACCACTGGACAAATAGGCAAAGAAATGAACCTCAGCCTTGTGCAAAAAAATAATACAAAATGGATGGTAGATCTAAATATAAAATCTGAAACTGTAAAACTTTCAGAAGAAAACAGAAAAAAAAATCTTTATGAGGTAGGATCAGGTGAAGAGTTCTTAGACATGACTCCGAAAGCACAATCCATAAAAGAAAAAAATTGATAAACTGGAATCCATCAACATTTTAAAACCTTTGTGAAAGATCACATTAATAGGATGAAAAGAGAAGCCAGGAACTGGGAGAAAATATTTGCAAGTCATATATCCAATAAAGGACTTGTATCCAGAATCCAAAGAACTGTATAAACTCAAGAGTTACAAAAAAACCTGATTAGAAAATGGGCAAAATTCTTGACCAGATACTTCAGCAAAAGAGTGTATAAGAATGGCAAGTAAGCACTGCACACCAAAGGATGTTCAGTATCCTTACCCACTAAGGAAATGCACATGAAAACCATAACTACCATTACCCAATTAACAGAATGGCTATAATCCAAAATCCTGATAATACCAAATGTGGATGAGAATGCAGAAAAACTGGATCTCTCATACGCTGCTTGTGCAAATGTAAAATGGTACAGCCATTCTGGAAAACAGTTTGGCAGTTCCTTCTAAAATTAAACATATACTTACCATATGACCCAGCAAGAGTACTCCTGGGCATTTAAAAGCCTGTACATGACATCCACAGCAGTTTTATTTATAATAGCCAAAACTGGAAACAACCTAGATGTCTGTCAATTGGTGAATGGTAAACAAACTATGGTACATCCATCCGGTAGAATACTACACTGCAATAAGGATTGGATCAAGGAGACCTGCAAGGCTGCTAGAATACTGGTTATAGTACATATTTCTGTGCTAAGCAGCGAATATATTAGTGTGGAAGATAAGGTGAGCAGGATATCATGACCTGTGCCAAGGGGGAGGGAGCATGTAAGGATTTGGTGGACCCCCCAAAGAGAAAACAGCCAATATGATCTTGGGGATCCAAGGTTTTCCAGAGAAGGCGATGATTAAGCTGAGACAGGAATGTCTAGTACTGGGACTCATATTTTATTATAGTGGGGAGGTGTTGAAGGACTCAGCTCTGGGATGTTGGGGAGAAGAGGAGGAACCAGCAAAGGTCAGAGAAGTAGCAGCTAGTGAAGTAGGAGGAAAACCACGGGAGTATGGCGTCCTGAAAGCACTTCTAGAGGAGAAAGTGACCGTCGGTAGTCATAGGCTGCTGACAGGTCATATAAGATAATGGACCAGTGGATTTAGCAACATGGAGGTCATTGGTGACTTAATAGGCAGTTATATTTGGTTGACCAAAGAACTTAGCTCATGGCAGAAAGTAATTCTGAATGTAATAAATTAATTTTAAGGCTCATTATGTCTGATGATTAACAATAAGCGCAGTTTATGAGCTATCACTACATTACTCAGATCGTGTCTTTTCATGATATCTAAAATGTCTTATAAACTTTGATATCCAGATATATATATATAAAGGTTCACAATTTAGGTGGGTGAAGCCAGGCTCTGTAATAAACCGATTTGACAGTAAGATAGTCTTTATCTCTTTGCATTTTATCAAAGGAAAACATTGCAGAGAAATCTGTCATTGAGAAAAAAGGCATGGTTTGGCTGTTTGGTCTTGCTTGAGACCGCTCTTTCATCTCAATTAATCTTCTAACCAAATCTCTTTGTTTAGTTCAAAAGCTCACAAATTTAAAACAGACATTTCACAGCTTAACACCTGGATAAACAAAAACATGTTAGGTCCAAGTGATTTCTTTGTAAATTTTTCTTTCATTCTGTATGGGAGATTCACAGTTCTGATTTCAGAGTTTCCTCTCTCAAAGAGAGACTTTATATGCTTCAATTTCCAGTGTCATCAGCATCAGCATTCCCACTTTACAGCTGGTGGAGATTACTTGCCCAGTGTCAGAAACTGGTGTCCAGGAGACCCAGGGCCATCCTCCAGCCTTCTACTCTGGAGTCAGTGTGCTGTCTTTGACATGCTGCATCTACAGTGAGTGCTAGTCTCCAAAACTTTCAGTGGCATTAGAGGCCCTCAACTAAAATTTCTCCTTCACTTCTTCACTTCTAGGTCCTCTTCTCTCAACAGCCTGGACTGCTGCTATTCCCAAGCCCATGCCCACTTTTCCTAAATCTACCCAAATCCTGCCTTTCCCTCCAGCTCAGCAGAATCCACCACTCTCCCTGACTGCTTCCACTCCACATAAGTCCCCCCTTTTTATCCTGTACAATTTCTCTGCCATAAATTACAATCTCGCATTTGCTTATTAACTATTAAAACATGCTGAGTCCTCACTCATTCAGAGGTTAGGCTGCTGGTGACTTCAACCACCCAGAACACAGCTCCCATGTACAAAAGAAGAAGAAAAAAAAGAAAGAAACAGCAACAAAGGCAAAAGCTTTTGAGAAAAAACAGCTGTTATAGCTTATAAACTTTGTGGTAGGAGAATTCTCTGACTCAAGCTTGGATTCTCTTGATACATTTTCAAACAGTATGAACAGTCTTAAAAATTGTGTTTCAGGAACCCTGTGGAACCAGAAGTTCCTATTAGCTAAAGTGCTTGCTCTGTGTGCCCTGTGCCAAGCTCTCTGTTAAGTGCTTTACCATACAATCCAAAGACAGAGGTTCATCAGCTTGTCCAGGGACACAGTCAGTAAAGGATGGAACAAGCACAGGAGCCCTTATTCGTTCTTTTTTTTTTTTTTGAGACAGAGTCTCACTCTTTTGCCTGGGCTAGAGTGAGTGCCATGGCGTCAGCCTAGCTCACAGCAACCTCACACTCCTGGGTTCAAGCAATCCTTCTGCCTCAGCCTCCCGAGTAGCTGGGACTACAGGCATGTGCCACCATATCCGGCTAATTTTTTCTATATATTTTTAGTTGTCCGATTAATTTCTTTGTATTTTTAGTAGAGACGGGGTCTCGCTCTTGCTCAGGCTGGTTTCGAACTCCTGAGCTTAAACAATCCGCCCGCCTCGGCCTCCCAGAGAGCTTGGATTACAGGCGTGAGCCACCGCGCCCGGCCTCCTTACTCGTTCTTAACCACTGCCATTTTGCAGCCGGTGAGCATGCAGCTTGACCGACACCCTGAAGCAGGAATCCTGACTGCCAAGAATGTCAAGGGAATGTAAAAAGCAGAGAAGCCTGGTGGACTCAGTGCAGGAACAAA